CTTTCCCAGTTTCCTCAATGGTCCCAACGTACAGTCCTGCTCCCCAGAGGTGACTATCAATACCAGTTTCTTATACATCCTTCCAGAAATTTCCTGGGCATACTCAAGTATATAACTGCATAGTTTATATTTTTAAAAAATAGATGTATCAGATTATATCAGATGGGGCCAGATAATATATCTATTATCATGGCACTTTTTGAATCTCTTAATTTGGGGGAATTTTGAACATTCACAAAAGTAGATAAGGTAGTATCCTGCAGCCTAATATAACATTGCTTTTTTCCATGGTCACCCAGCAAGTTTTTTCTTTAGTAGAACTTCCCAGTTGTGAGTTTCCGCAGCCTTTTTCTCTGTTTCTGCTTGCAGAAAGGGTTAAGTTCTGATCCCATTTCTGCTTTTCAAAACTTCCCACTTTGTTTCTGTCTTGTGCTTTTTCAACACACACCCCCGAGTGACCCCTGCGGCTGTGCCTGGCACCCTTCACACACACAACCCCCAGCTGCTGAAGGGAGCCGGGGCTGATGTGGACTGGTCCCCTGGCTCCAGGGTGTCACGGTTCTCCCTCCTCTCCGCTTCTAATTTTCTGTTTCCCCAACTTCTCCAATTTGGCTTGTCTTTCTGTTGAAGGCAGCTCAGCCTACCTTACTGCTGCAGGTACCCATGTGTCTGGGAACGTTCCATCTGCACTGCCAATTACACCCAGAACTTCCACCTGTCCCAGCACTGAGCCACACACACACCTGCAGAAACAGCAGTGCACTTGCTGCATGGGTCAGCTACAAATGCTCCTTGTCCAGCACCCCTCACCTCTAGTGACAGTCACAGTAGAACACAAAGGTTAATAGTGTTCCCATCACTTCTTAGGGAACAGATCTCCTCCACCTCTGGTGCTGGCACAGTGCCTTCGACATGACCCCTTAGAATTCATCCACAGCCAACGTCCACAGAGGACACCTCTGAGAAGTCCTGAGATGTCTGCGATCTGCCCATAGACTGCCTAGAATCCAAACACGCGCTGGTACAGGCGTGCTCTGGACATCTGAGCCTGGTCAGCCAAACGCTCCAAAAGGACTTGCTTCGAGACTGGTCATTTGAGATGCTCATTGACTGGTGAGCAGATTCTCCCTGAGATCTGGGCTCACTGGGTACAGTACCCAGGATGACACTACAGCCGCCTACTGGCGTCCCTAACATGAGCTGTGCTGTTTTCCCTCTTGGAAAACAGGCCCTCCATCAAGACAAACATGGCACCTGTCAGCGCAGGGTCAGTCATGGTTAGTAAAACCTAAAAGGCTGATGGATGAGTGCCAAAATTAGATGTGCATGGAGCTCAAGGTGCAGCTCGCGCCACCCGTGGCACTGGGTCTGAGGGGTGCCCTTGCTGGCTCACACACTGCCTATCCGTCCCATAAATACGGCTCAGCCCCAGAAACAATGTCCATGAAAAGCACCAGATGCCTTTGAAACTGTCGTCACAGCCTATTTAATAGCAAGTTCAAGTTCAGAGTTCTTACCAAGGACTCCCACAGAACTATCCAAATTCTTTGGTGGAACTGGAATTCTATCACATAAATTATCACCTAAAAACCCAAAAACTTAAGCTTTCCATCCTGACAGTTTATTTTGCGGTAATAACATTTTTTTTTAGACATTTGGCTCATAAATAAAACAACAGCCCCTAAAGCTGCCTCGGTTGTAAATACAAAGTAACTTCATGACGAATCTGCTGATTTCATACAATTCTTTAGAGATCAAGGAGTGATCACGGGGAANAAAGAGACCTCAAGCTGGGCCAGAGCTGAAGAGAAAATGAGTGCGTGCCAGCCTCAGCAATAACTATGGTATCGCCTCCAACAGATGAACCGTTCTGAGGACGTCTTCTTGTTATGTCATCGGCCTCACAGAGCTTTGCAGCTCTGTCTCTGGCTGTCAGGCGTGCAGGCCGGCCCCTCCCAGAGAAGACCAGCCAGGGGGCTTGAGCTCTTCCAGAGAACCTGCCTTGACTACTCAAAACCTTTCCAGAAGGAAAGGCGCTGGGCGTTTGTGGCAGGATGGGGGCGCTGAAGGTCGCTGCCGCCCGTCATGACCTGGCCGTGGGTGACAGCTTATTTCCTCTGAGAGCGTGCTGGTGCCCATCATGGAAAGAGCCCCCTCCCTCCACTGCCCCCAGGGGGACAAAGACCTGCTGGCCGAGGCCTCCTGCAGCAGCGGTGTCCTTCACGGGCAGGCTGCCCAGGACCAGCTGGTAGCACCCACCAGAGCCTGGACCAAAAGCCAGGTCCCCACACTCAGGGCTTACCTGCCCACGACGCCCCACACAGCCTCTCCACCAGTTTCACAAATTCCTCATTCATTCGTTCATTCATTCAGTAAATAATCCAGTGCACGCTGCATGGCCGGTACGACAATGGAGATGGGTTTCTATGTAACAGGCATGACTCCTGGCCCCATGGAACTTGTCATCTAGTGGGGGAGACACTGCTAAGCTGATAAAGGAACCAGTATCTGTAATGGCCAATTGTATATTACGCTGCAGTGGGGAAGTGAATAGGGTGGAGGGAGAAAGATCAGAAGGTCAGATTAAAGCAAACCGGGAAGGATGAGACATTCTCCAACACCCAGGAGGAGCATGTCCCAGGGGGAGGGAAGCTCTAGAATCATGTCCCCAACCCCAGCGCACAACACGCTCACCTGGAGGGTTTGGGAAACAGATTGGGGGCCCCCACCCAAAGTCCCTGATCCTGGGGTCTGGGGCAAGGCCTGAGAGTTCCCAGGGATCAATGATGCTGCTGGTCCAGGAACCAACTTTGCAAACCCCTGCTCTGAGTCACCCAGCTAGCAAATGCCCGAGCTGGGAGCTGAACCCCACCGCTGCCTGGCTCCAAAAGCCACTCCTACCCAGCACCACCAGCCGGGTTCTGTGGTGACCTGGGCCCTTGTTGCACATTCCCTGCCACATCACAAAGCCCAGAAGGACAGCCGGGAAGCCTACCTGCCGCCTCTCTACATCCTGCCTGAGCCAGCGCCCTACCTTCCAGGGAAGCTGGCCTTGATAACAATAAAGGGGGAGCAAAACCTGTTGACCTTGAACCCCACCACCCCTGGGGGTTCTAAGCCTCCACCTCAAGCAGATCTGTCCGTGCCTCACCACATGACATGCTCAGAAGAGCAAGGCTTATGCACCACACTCCAGAGCAGGTGACAGCCTTGGCCTCACTGTGGAAGTTATTTGCTGCATCGAACCTGCATTTAGGACAACCCACAGTAGAAGAACCACACCTGAGCTACAACATGCTGAATTCACCAGTAACAGCTTCTTTTGCGTTAAACAAAAAGACAAGAAATGTATGGCTATATTCATGAAGGCAATAAGAAAATGAACTATTTATCCACTAAGAGCCTGTCAAAGCAGCACAGAGAGTCACTGGAGGGTAATTTTTACAACCAATGAAACAATCTACCAACTGGCGAGAACGCAAAGACGGTTTGCGAGGTGGGGGTCCTAGCTGCTGCCAGTCCTAACTACAGCGCGCTCAGGAGCCTCCCAGAAAGGTAATCTTCCTAAACGCACCCTCAGTCTCACACAGAGCAGGGAGAGCATTGTAACTGGGAGGTCAGCAGGGAAGAAAGCGGGGTTCCAGCAGAAAGGGGCCACTGGTTTTTACACTTTTATGCCCAGGAAGAGTTGTTTTCTTTTTCGCATTAGCCCCTGCTCAAAGGCATCGGGAGGGGCATTCGCACAGCAAAATCCCTCTCTGTGTTAGCATGCTAACATCCGCACCCTCGATGCCACTTGCATGATAACCACAAAGGGGCCGGTTTGGTAAGATACGCACGGGCATGGCGTTGTTGAGGGTGTTGTTGTAGACGCAGGCGCGTAGCGAGTAGTCCAGCACGCAATTTTCAAAGAGCTGCAGAGCTTCTGTCACTTTTTCGTGGAAGTCATCTGCAGATTTATTTGAACTTGCAAAGTAGAGATAGTCTGAGTACAACCTGTAAATAAAATAAATAGGTTTTTGTTTTGTTTTGTTTTTTTTACCACCCTCGAATAGGAAATCTCCCCATTTGGGTGACAATGAAAATCAAGGAGCAATTAGCTTATCTAGCTTTGTTCCTTAAAGCCCTACTACCATTTCTCTTTGTTCCCTTGCAGGTGAGCCATTTCCCTACTCCCCCACCTTCCCAGGGCCACCCAGGCTCTCCCAAACTCAGACGTGTCTACACTGGCCCCAGACAAACCACCAGTAGTTTTTTTCCTTTGTTCTTTCTAGCCACCTCGGGCCACGGCTGTTTTCCCAGTAACAGTGAGCTCTGAAACAACACCAGATTACCGAAATTGTACAACAGCAGCGAGGCCATGAAAATTTTATGCTCCTTCCGCCGGTGCCTCCCTCCTCTCTGGGAGGCAACAATAACAAGAGCATCTGTCACTCTTGCAATATTACATTCCACATGAAATTCCTGGCCCTTTCCACAGACATTACAACACTGCAAAAAAACATTATGAAATGTGTCTCTCCAGATTGGTAGGAACCTATTTTTTTTTAACACAATGTAAAAACATCCCCACATGTGCATGCAGACACCTGCGGGCCTGTGTGTGTGTTCACACACGTGGATCTGTTCATACAGACCCCGCCACAGGTGTGTGACGATGTTTTCATCCAGGAACTGACAGGCTCTCCTCGACCGCACTTTACTCAGGCTCCTCTGAACCTGCTTCTCAGCTAGGCTTCAACTTCTGGACTTCCGAGTCTGTCTTCATTTGCATTTCCCAGTTTCAGCCAGAATAACGCACCTTCCATAAGCGGTTGGGCTCTTCCTCCCTCTCCATCCCCCAGTTGGCCTCTGATCACCCCAGCCTGCCTACAGCAAGAACCCTGTCCCGTGAGTTTAGCCAGAATCCCCCCTCACGCCTCAGGGCTTCTCTTTGGAATTTGCCATCCACTGACACCCCCTTGTCACTGTCACTGCAAAACCCCATCACAGTAATCCCTATACCTATTGTAACAGTCCTAAAATAAAGTCTGCCATTCTTTAATGAGTGCAGGAATAATTTTTCCTTCCTTCCTTCCTTCCTTCCTCCTTCCTTCCTTCCTTCCTTCCTTCCTTCCTTCCTTCCT